ACAACGACAACAACAACAACAACAACAGCAATAACAACAACAACAACAACAACAACAACAACAACAACAACAACAACAACAACAACAACAACAACAACAACAACAACATATACAACAACAACAACAACAACATATACAACAACATATACAACAACAACAACAACAACAACAACAACAACAACACAGCAGCATCAGTTCAGAAACTTCTCCAGCACGCATGCACAAATACCTCAGAAAAATCGATACCCATCATCTGTCGAATCATTAACCAGTAGTAGCCAAATAAATGGCACTACGCAAAAAGGATTATTTCGGAAAATCCACGCATAAGCCACCGAGTGAAAAGCGCACATCACCGCTGAGGTCGCCAGCATCGCTGTCGGGTCGTGATAATACCAATACCTAATTTTAAGATCAAACACACTGGAGTTCCTTCACCCTAGTGATATGAAAAATATATTTCACAATTCACTTGGCAGAAAACAACTGTGTTATCGGCGGCCGCGGAAACATATACGTCTTAAAATTCACAAGGAGTATTACACCACTTCACGTTAAACGGATCATCGTGAAATTCCAATAATATTATTTTATATGTATAAAATCCAAAAATATTTAATAAATTTCACCCTAGTGATATGAAAAATATATTTCACAATTCACTTGGCGGAAAACAATTGTGTTATCGGCGGTCGCGGAAAAACATATTTACGCCACTTCACGTTAAACGGGTTGTCGTGAAACTCGACCGATTCTCACATTTGTATGATGTGTTCTTCCAGCCTGTGCACCAACTCGGCCATCCATATTCCTCTTATTGCGCGTAACTAACAACATGATTTACGCGATTGATGGTATTATAATAATAGTAATGGAGTTTCACTCTAGTGATATGAAAAACATATTTCACGACTACTGCATATCACCGCGAATATCGCGTTTTTCACAGAGTACTACGCCACCACTTCACGTAAAACGGGTTGTGAAACTCCAATAATAATACCACAACAACAATAACAACAGTAACAATAACAATAACAACAATAACAACAGCAACGACAGTAACAATAACAACAACAACAGCAACAACGACAGTAACAACAACAACAACAATGACAACAACAACAACAACAACAACAACAACAACAACAACAACAACAACAACAACAACATATACAACAACAACAATGACAACAACAACATATACAACAACAACAATGACAACAACAACAACAACAACAACAACAACAACAACAACAA